TCCTCGTAAAATGTGGCACTATAAATCGGCAAAATGGAATGACCTAAAACAGTATTACCTGGATTTTCCATGGCAAGAGGTTTGCTTTAAAACAGCTGATCCCACTATTTGCTGTAATGAAATAACACAAGTAATCTTATCTGGAATGGACGCATATATCCCACATACAACTAAACGTAGAGCTAATGCTAAACCTTGGTTCAACAGCCAGTGTCAAACGGCTGTACAGAAAAAACACAGAGCATATAACCTTTGGAAACGACAACAAACCGCTCAAAACCACACAGAATTTATAGAAGCCAGAAATAGTTGCAAAATTACTATTGACTCCGCTAAAGAAACATACAATCAAAGAATAAAAAACAGGTTGCTGAATTGTCCAAGTAGTTCTAGGTCTTTTTGGTCTCTTGCAAAAGCTGTTGGATCTAACTTCACCAAGTCATCCATACCACCACTTACAGATAAAAATAATCACTTAGCCACAACATCAGAGGAAAAAGCCAATATGCTTGCCCAAATGTTTTCCTCCAACTCCAACCTAACAGTGCCAAACGGAAAAACTCCACCGTTCATTGAAAGGGTTTCCCATAGTATGCCAGAGGTACCCTTTTGTCACAGAGAAATACGAAAATCCCTAAAAAAGCTGGATACAAACAAAGCAATGGGTCCGGATGGCATTCCCGCAATAGTACTCAAAAATTGCGCCAACGAACTCACCCCAACTTTCGCAAAATTATTCAATTTGTCTTACAGGCAAGGAGTATATCCATCATCATGGAAGTCTGCCGCAGTACAACCCATTCCAAAGAAAGGAAAAAAGACAGATCCGTTAAACTATAGACCAATTGCTCTACTTCCGGTGATATCAAAAGTAATGGAAAGAGTTGTGAACAATCACCTAACCAAGTACTTGGAAAAGTACAAAATTATCAACGATAAGCAATACGGATTTCGAAAATATAGATCAACTGGCGATTTACTTACATACGTCACTCACTTATGGCAAAAAGCGATTGAGTTGCGGGGTGAAACAAGAACAATTGCCTTAGATATATCTAAAGCATTCGACAAAGTTTGGCATCAAAATCTTCTCAACAAGCTCAAAGCAATGGGATTATCGCCGAAACTTTGCACTTGGTTTGAAAGTTACCTAAAGGACAGATCCATTTATGTTGCACTGGATGGCCAGAACTCCAACTCTTACCAAATAAATGCTGGTGTGCCACAGGGAGCAATCCTTTCGCCAACTCTTTTCCTGATTTACATAAATGACCTCATAGATAAAACAGTAAATCCACTTTATTGCTTTGCAGACGATGGTAATGTAGTCTCCTCACTCATACCACCCACAGGGCTTTCCGCACGTGAATTCCATCATCTTAGACTAACTCATATATCGCAGATAAATAACGACCTGGAGGTAATAGAGGACTGGGGTAACAAAAACCTTGTACAGTTCAATGCGCAGAAAACCCAAGCAGCTCTGTTTTCAAAAAAGACCAGCACCGGTGAGCCAAACATCATGCTATCTGGAAGTGCTGTCACATTACAGAGTCAGTTGAACATCTTGGGGGTTACTGCAGAGACCAACATGTCTTGGCACAGTCACGTGGCAGATATTGCTAAAAGGGCCTCCCAAAAGCTGGGGGTGCTATTTCGTACAAGACATCTGTACACACCAAGCCAATTGCTGACACTCTACAAAGCCCAGATTCGACCAACTATGGAGTACTGCTCACATATATGGAGTGCTGCACCCAAACATACCTTAATGCTTTTGAATACCGTGCAAAAACGAGCTATCAAGCTGATCAATGACCCCGCACTTACTCGTAACTTGGATGGTCTCGAACATCGCAGATCTGTGGGCGATTTATCTCTCTTCTACAGGTACTATCACGGAAAATGCTCTGAAGAGTTGGCACGTATGATTCCACCGAGAGTAGCACCTACCAGGCGAACGCGTCAAACAGACGGTAACCATGAATTTACTGTCAAACTAGAGGCACCAAGAACCTCACTATATCAGAATTCATATCTCTGGAGAACAGCATCGCTGTGGAATAAACTCCCTGCGACGGTTTTCCCTGCAGGTTACAACCTGAACCGTTTCAAGACCAACATACACCGACATTTCCGCGCACTTGCCGCTTCTCGAGCGTGATAGGACATTGTCCTTGCGAGTGCGCATATCCGTAAAAAAAAAAAAAAAAAAAAAAAAAAAATCAGGTATGTACATTGAAGTTTATACATATGGTAACAACTCAGGTACATCTATATTGTTCTTCAGAATATTATAGATAAAATTGATATCACAAAATTTTCCACCTGCTTTCAATTCTACCACATCAAATTTCCCTAATTGCGTCTGATATAATATAAGGCGTAGAAAGCTTGGATACAATCATTGTGACAATCAAGTCAATTCTCAATTCATTTGCATGAGACATCATTCTATTTATGGATGAAAATTGACCATAATTGGTGTGATGGTTCTCAATACTAAATGTATTCACAGCTCTAAGTGATCTAGGAGAAGTATGAATTTGAACAAGTTGCAGGAGGTCACTACAATCTATATTGTTATTAAGTATTTTATAAATAAATACGTTATCAAAATGAATTCTCCTCTCATTCAAGAACTTTATATTCAGCATGTTCAGTCATATAAGTACATGTTTCAACATCAAGTCCCAATCTATATCTAATGTGACACAAAAATTTGCGCTGCACTCTTTCTATATAGTCTATCTCTATGACACTGATAGTATGGTGACCATACACAAGTATTATTCTCGAGTTGAGATTCAACTAAACACACATACTTACAAAGTTTTGAGAGCAAATACATTTTTGAAATCTTTGGTATGTCTTTTTACAAAGCCTAACATTTTCAGAGCTTTATTACAAATATAATCAATATGATCCACAAAGGTTAGCTTGTGGTCAAACACAATTCCCAGATCCTTGATTGTAGTTACACCATCAAGCAGAATATTTTGTGCATAATACAAATTAAATTTTGGACTTGACTTTCTGCTAAATTGTATACATTTACAATCACCTATAATGATATTATTCTCGCACCATTTCTCAAAACGTTGAAGGTCTTCCTGCAGGAGTACAGATGCATCTGATGAGTCAATCACCTTAAATAACTTCATCATCTGTGTACAATAAAATATTTACTATAATGGAAACCGTCAATAATATAATTTATGAAAATGTTGAAAAGTAATGGAGCAAGATGACCCCTTTGTGGAACTCCAGATGTTACATTATAATCATCAGATAAAGATGTTCCAATTTTTACCCTTTGTTTACGACCTATCAAATATGATTCAAGCCATTTCAACAATATACCATTCACACCATAACCAGAAAGCTTCTGCAACAAAATACCAAAATCATCCCTGTCAAAAGCCTTTTCAAAATCTATATAAATGGAGTAAACTGCAAATCCAATCTCAAGTGCTTTAGAAATTACTTGTTCGTATAATAGTGAATTTGTTGTAATTGATCTGCCCTTTGAAAAGTTATGCTGTTTGACACAGATAATATTTTGGAAACACACAGAAAGAAATTCATTAACAATACATTCAAAAATTTTGGGGTAATGTGACATTATAGTTATTGGCCGATAGTTAGTGACCTCATATCTTGAGCCATTGTTTTTATAAATTGGATAAACCAATGAAATTTTCCATACATTGGGAAATATACCCAATGACAGAGATTTAGCCAAAGAGGCCTCAATAACGCAAAAGCACAGTTCTTTATAAATATGGGGGCAATACCATTTTTTTATATCTATATTTGACAAATGATCCAATAGATCACTTATCTTAATGATGAGACTATTTATATTAACGTTGCTTGAGCATGAAGCAACATTTTCAAGCCCTCTGTTTTTATTTATTTCTTGATTTTCCATAAACCGATGAGAAAAAGTGAGAAAACAAACCAACAGTGCTTTCCACATTCTCACTTACTTGACCGTTATAACAAGACTTTGCCTGCCTTTTACACAAATCCCTAAGACTGCAAAAAGCATAATAATGATCAGCATCTCCAGTCTGTTTACCTATATTTTTTGTGAGCTAATTTTTTGTTAAAAACATTGAAAACCAATGTTTTCACAAAAATTAGAACGCTTAAAATCAAAAATTTCATCATCATACTCAACAAGATTTGGTATATTATCACAGTCAACAGTAATAACTAGGCTGGATGATGCCTATCACAGTTTACCAAAGTATCACTAGTGCAGACAGATCAGATTATGACTGAATAAGCATTGCTTGAGTTTCCTTATAAGGAATGGCACACCTTGTCAAATGCCTTTACTACATCTGTGCACACAACATCAACATTCAACATGTAACCAAAATAGCATTGAGGTACATTTTGCCTCACAACATTGCTAATTATTTTAATCTGATCTTGCTGTAATTGGGCTTAAATTCTAATCAATTACTCTATAAATCTCTTGTCAACAGTTTTCAAAGACTGGAGATTTGAAGAATGTAAGCATCAAGAAACTAAAAAAAAAAATCTTAGTGGGTGTAATGTTTGAAATTTTTAGGAAATTGGCATTTTTATCCTTTAAAGATGTGAGAAAACGTAAAACAAACCTCAAAAACTGCCACTTGTTAAGAAATCCCGAAAAACATTTTTAGGCTGAGAAACAAGAAACCAATAAATCAAAATCAAAATAAAAAAGTTTCAAGAAACATTCTTGTAGGCAGTAAAATTTCAAAAAGGCGTTATTTTAAGGCTGTGAAACAAAATTTGAAAGGCTGTAGCAGTGTAGACTGTCAGAAAATCAGGAATTTGATAATCTGGGTTTGCAAAAAGCTTTTAAAAAAATATTTCTGACCTGCGAAATGTTAAGGAACCTAAAAAAAGGATGTAGATGTTTGAGAAGTTTAGAAACTAATTGTATTAATTTCTATACGCCACATACATACTTAATTTCATAATCAAATTTGTTATTTTAGTTATCAGAAGAAAGAGAAGTAAAATCAGTCCTAGTAAATCACATACATACGCCAGTATCTCCTCAAACTGCTCGGTCCACCCCAAGTCCATCGCATTCTGTAGTAAATTTAGACGACCACGGAGCCTTTCATAGAATAGACAACTATCATGGAATATCTTCAAATAGAAAAACTTTCCAGGACATCAGGGAAGTGAAATCCACACGGTTTGATCACGACGATGATAAATACAAGAGAAGGCCTGTGACCGAATTGGTGGGCACCTGGTGGAAGTAATAAGTAGCATTTTAGTTTTGAAATTTTATATTACAATTTGTTTTTTAGGATTACTTTTGGTGCTCCTCTACGAGCAAGAGGAGGCAGATCTAAATTCAGAAAGTACTGCATGTTTGGCACCTTAATTATTTTTATTGTGTTGGCTTTTTTATTTTTAATGGCTCGCCTTGGACGTTATTCAACTGAAAATGATCCTAATTTTGAAGCTGTAAATAATCCGTTTGTCAAGGTGGAAGAATCCCATCAATAATCTACATACTTATAAGATTAAATTTAATATTTTAAAACTGTATATTATTATTTGTATAATTTTAAGAAATATTATTATAATAAAAGTAATTGTATTATTTTTGGCTCAAGTTTCATTGAGAGCTTCCTCTGAAATAACTAGTAAGAATTTTAACCTAAATAAACCACTAGACTCATTATGCTACAATCGTAAATCTTCCAAAAATATATTTTTTGAATCGATGAATGTATCATCAGTGTTGAGTTAGTATCAAATAAATTGTGAAATTTCATTATCCCCATGAGATAAATATTTATGCTGCATGAACAAAACAGTAAAGAGATTTTGAATGTTTTTCTTTGTAGTTGTTAATCATAGCAGGTTGTGAAAATAATGTTCAGAAAAATTTGTTTGTGGTTATAAGAATGTTAAAATTGTGAAGACTAAACTAAACTCATTGAAAATAAATATGTGAAGATTTTTCTTATTGAATTTAAAGTTCAAAAGCATAATTAGGTACCTACTTATTCAATGCAAAAGCTCAAGCTCAAATATTTCATTACCAACATATAGAACTTAGTCAAAAGAAGCTCTAAAAGTTGATTAAACTTGCCCCTCGACAAACATTGTGCAGCTAGATATGAATAATTAGAAAAGTTTTAGATTTCAAAGAGATGAGCTTATTACTATCATAATAATTAATTTTCTGCATTTGTGTAGAATTTGAAAAGGGAAACATGTTTCCCGAGTGAGATTAAGCATAATTTTGCATTTAATATGCCGCTGACAAGGATTAGTTCAAGAAAAAAAAATCTCCCAAGCTCTAATTATTTTAATTAATCATTAAAGTGTTTTTATTTGATTAGCAACAAACCAATTTTAATTAATTATTAGATAAATTTCATCCAAATTAGATTTCCGTGTCATGTGAATCTGGATTTTAGGCACGTTCCAGCTTTCAAAATTAACCGCCATCGGATTTAGGCACAATATAGAATGGTTGCCAATTTAATTATTTAGGGATTAATTCGTTTCCCATATGGATTGCTTGTTGATGAGATTTTATTACGGTGGTAAAAGCCAATAAAACAATATTGAAGGATTAGTAATAAATAATTCAAAGCAATTCACTGTTTAATGGTATTTTGGTTCGACAGTAAATTAACATAATAAATAAGGTAGGTACCTATTTATTTAATTTTAAAATGAGTGAAACAATAATATTAACCAACATATGTGTTTTCTTTCAAACGGCTCTCAAATTCTTGATTTCTTTCAAAGGAAAACATACACAAAATTTATTTTGGAAGAGAAAGAGAAATATTGGAAGAGCCAGGTGTAAAAATTAAAAAACAAATCAAGAGCCTAAAATTCTAAAATACAGGAAAAATGATAATTCAAGAAATTGGAATGAAAAAATTCAAGAGCCAGAAGAAAACTAAGAATTTAGAATAAAGAAATAAGAAACAATCAAGAGCCTAGAATAGCAAAAATTAAGCAAACATTTTCTTGCTAATATTTCCTTTTTTCCTCATTTTGTAAGTTTCAATTTTTGTCAGGAGCTAGGCTCTCTGAAATAATTCTGAGGTTTTTAAATTGTTCTGAAGCCTTGCAAAATACTGCTGGAAAGGGTTTTGGAACGTTCTAAATGACTTATTGAAGTTCTAAAGTGTTCTAACTTGGCTTAAAGAGTTCTGAGAGATTTTTAAGTATTTTGATTCCTCTATGGAAGCTCGAAAGTGTCCTAAATTGGTTCAAAAGAGTTCTAATTCGTTTTTAGTTCTAAATTATTGAATCTTAATGGTTCTAAAATAACTCTGAAGTTTCTAAATGGTTACAAAATGCTCCTGAAAATTCTGATTTGAATTTGAACTGTTTTGGATGCTTATAAAAGGTTTAAAGTTCTGCAATCTAAATTCACTTTTGTAACTTTTCACCTGAATCCTAAGATTCTCACGCTTTTCAAAATGTTTTTGAAGATTCTAAAGTGTTTGAGTGTTTTGGAGCGCCCCAAAATGGTTTCAAACTTCTGAACTGCCCTAAAATGCTTTTGAAATGTTAGGTTTTTGAATATTTTAGGGCGTTCTAAAATGCTTCTGAATTTTCCAAATTGTTCTGAAGCGTTCCAGAATGCTTTTGAATTGAATTTTAAGGGTTTTGAACTTTCCAAAAGGCTTATTAAAGTTCCAAAGTATTCTGTAGCACTTTAAATGGTTTCCAGTAACTTCTAATTCAATTTAGAAGTTACTGAAAACGAATTACTTATGTGGGAAAATTTTCTAGACATCTCAAAAACGCCCTTAAGATGTCCACAAACGACAACGTCTTGCTTCCGTGTTTGAGGCGTCTTAAATCTTGAAGACGTCGTATGTTACAAAACCCAACGTCTATCAGACGTCTGCCTAAAGGCTTATTTGGGAACTAAGATATTCTAAAGACATCTTCAAGGAGATGTCCTAAGGACGTATATGAATCTCGAACCTACATTAACTATTACCTATTCACTTTTAGGCCTGGTTTTACAACATCTTATGGACGTCGTCTAGACGTCTTTTTTTGGTCTTCAGACGTTCAGCTGTAATGCAGACCTAAAAAGGATGTCTTCAAGATTTTGAGGGAGTGCTGTGTGGGTGAAAGTCGAACAGTGAGGGTTAGCTTCAATGAGGTGAACCTCTTCAAGGAGAGGATCATACTTTGAGTGTCTGACATGCTTTTTCATATAAATCTTTCCAGAAATAAGTCATGAAGGTATTGCTGTACCATTCATTGATTTTCTTGAATGACTGAACATTCTTTCATTTGGAGTAGAATTAGAAGCTATGCATCAAAGAGACCTCATCAAATGCAATGCATCTTCTAGAACCGCTTCCCAGTGCTGCATTTTCAAATTTCTAGAGCGCAACGCTAGATTGATTGTCTTCCAAATTATGCCATCAAACCGTTCTGTTTGACCATTGCCTTCTGGATTATAAGATGTCGATTTGCTTATTGCTATTCCTTTTGAGAGAAGATAATTTTTAAACTCATTTTGACATAAATGAAGACCCTTGATCTGTGTGTATATTATCAAGGCATTACAAAAATGGAAAATAAGTTGCTCAGACACCGAATCACTGTCTCAGAAGTCATATCCTGACATGGATAGGTGAAAGGAAAGCAAGAATACTCGTCGAAGATAGTAAGTAATAGTAAGTACATATTTATATTTGTTCCTTGAATCAAATGGAAGAGGGCATTTGAAGTCTATAAAGATACTCATTCTCTCAAAGGCAGAAGTCCGAAGTTGCTTTCATGAGTGTCCCTTGATTTTCAATGAATCTAGGTTTAAGTTCTGCACAGACTGGGCAAGACGCTGACATATTCTCCCATATGAATTGGAAGGAGCATTTGCTTATACCTACTTGCAAAATTTCACGTATAAATACATATTATGTTTCAAGGGGTACCTATGTAATGTGGCGACCCCAAAAATTTCGAGGTGATAAAATCCCAGAAAATATAACTAAACTCAATTGGTAAAAGCATTTTTGTAGTCATTTCAATTAGAAAAGTACCTACGTCAGTTGCAAGATAATTTATTCTCAACTTATTAAATCTCCTAGCAATCCAGCATCTAATTCCGTATAAAAATAGTATAAATAAATTAATTTGATAAAAATGTTTAATCAGTATAAAAATAGAATGAACTTGACTATTGGCAACAATTTGAAGTGAATTTATTATAAGAAAATTGGAACTTGATTTTAAGTGACTTTTCTAAGGAACTTTACTGAAGGCTTAATTGTTTTTGAATCAAATGACATTTTTATATTGTTTAAAATATTTACTTGGGAAAATATAATGAACATGACTATTGCCAATTTATTTGAAGTGGAATTTTCCAGAAGAGTTTCAATTCAAAATAGAATTTTGAATTCAAATATTAAATTGTTACTACACCGTTTTTGAAGAAATTGAGTTAATGAATTGTTAAGCTTAAACTATTAAATAAAAAGAAATTCTTTATGCAGTCTAATTTTAGATTGTAAGTTGGGAGTTTAGTATAATGGCAACTGGAAAGTTATGAATTTAATTAAGAGTTTTAATATGAAAGGATTTAGAATTAAGGAAGTCTTTAGAAAAGGGAATTGTTTATTGTGTAACCAACAAATGAGGAACGAGTTATAAAATTTAATTACGTATAATCAACTAAGTTTTGATTAGGAGGGTGTATAACTGGATTGTTTCAATGTATGATCATTGAAGTAAGAATTTGTTAATATAAAATTTTCCTTCATTTGTCGTGTACCTAGGTTGTGCTGAATTCTTAGGCTGAATTCTCCTAATCGATAGTGCTAATTTAGTAAATAAAATATTTATGAAAACTATTATACAGTTGTTTCTCTCATTTGCAAATAGACCCCCTTCAGTCTTCAGTCTTCACTACTTAATTTTGTAGAAACCCGGAGAAATAATTAACATCAAATAGAACCGCTCGCCATTTACCATCTAACTAATTGATAGAGTACTTGGGTGGATCACTAAGGTAAGTTAATCCTTTTTCTTAAAAATAAGAAGTAAATGCTTATGAAATGGATTGGCTTCAAACGTATAAATAAAGCCAACCACTTGCTTACAAGTGCGAGCATTCACTTGCTGAAAACTGATTGTGTGTGTTTGCAAGTAAGAATGGCTCAAATGATAATACTTGATACGTAAGGACCTACTACAAAAAACGGCGTACACCGTTGGATTCAGTTTTCAACAAGTCACTCTGGAAGCTAAAGAACTGTAGGCAGGTCAGAAACTTAGCTAGATAGATAGAGAAACCTAAAGCACACGGGGACGTATACATAAGCTGCAAAGAAGAAACAACCTTGCACGTACAAGCTAGGTACGTGTAATGGAAAGTACATATTCACCAGCGTGGATTTGAGGTGGCCTGGCTCAGTGCATGACATAACCGAATCTGGAAAAATTCCTTGAGCGTGACAATGGCCTGGTTAATATTCCATATAAAATTGTAGCTTGTCTCATTTTACGCAACATTGCTAAGGCCTTGCAGGATCCAGATTTTGAAGCCAATGATGAAGATGAAGACGTCGTACTTGTGGGGGAAGAGAATGACAATGTACCTACGTGTCCGAGGTTAGGAAGTGCGAGAAGCCTTAGCATATTTCCAATAAAATATATTACCTTTTACTCGTTTTTATCAATTATTTGAATAAAGCAATTGCTTTTACTGCTACCTTTCGCTCTAAGCATTTGCTTTTCCTTCTGCTTTAAGCTTATAAGCATTTACTTTATTATTATTCATATGGGCCGATAAATATCATATATAATATCTTCTACAGAGTAGAGGGTATATTGCGGGATCTTATCCAGTATTCAGTGGACCATTCTAGTGATTCCAGGGACATATCAACCTTGATGTAAATGAAATAAAGTTTTTTGACTATTTGAACCACATACTCGAGGGAATGGTATTAGCTACTACGTTTTCTCATCCTGGCCTATATAGATATTATATCATAGATGTAACATTAAAATTTCCGTTCGCCATCTTGAAATCTTCTTTTTTATTTTGCTACTATGTTTGGTACCTATTTAACATAAAAGATACAGATTTTTGATCAGTACTCAGCTGAAAATGACGACCAATCAGCAAATGTCTCCATTTTTTAGTCGCTTCGACCTTCGACTATGGAATAAGCTTCTTTTTTAACTGATGAATAATTTTGTTCACACTTATAGTGTTCTCGAGAAAAATGTAACTGGCCTTCTTGCTTGACTCAAAGAGGCAGCGATGGAATATTGTGAGGCATCAGTCTCAATCACAAATAGAATATTCTCTTCGATTGAAGTAACAGCTGATTTTGCAATATCCAATTTGAGCTTTTTGAAATCGTTTACAGATTTTGTAGTATAACATACCCGGGGTTCGCTCAGTAAAATTGAACGATGAGAATTTTTATCACCTTTTAAACAACAAATATTCTGAAAAACGAAATGAAAAACAAATAGGACCTACGTTGTGGAAACTTACTCAATTTTACTTACTGGACATGCGCCCGACATAGCAAATATTTTGGAAATTTAAGGGAAGTTGTGATATGTAAAAGAAACGAAAAATTGTTGAAACGTCTACTTTATTATTAAAGTAAATCGTACCGTTCTCGACCTGGAATTCTCGAGGGGAAAGAGAACGGCAGAGAAACCCTCGATCTAACATTCCTCAAAAATTAAAACATACTGTGTCATTTTAATAATAATTGTGAGTCAATAATTCAATAATTTAAGTCTATAAAAGTTTAAATTAGGTACCATCCTTCGTTCTTGTGCTGAAATTTTAATTACACACACTACATTCAATCAACACTACTTATAATCAATACTGAAGAGTTTTTGGTTAGTTAGCCAACCTGTGGCAGGTACTGAGGTTCCTGGTTACGTAAACTCACAGCTATAGTTGTTTTTGAGCCAATATCTCTTTCCTTTGTTTGGTAGGATATTCGCTCGTCAGGGTAGGAAAATGTTAGTAAATTCAACAAGGTCCTAATGCACGCTCTGAATACACAAAATCAAAATCTCAGCACAAATAGACAGCACATAATTTCTTAGGTTTTAATTTACTCTTTATCTGTGTTGTTAACACCATGAAACGATTTTGGTTGAAAACATAAACAATGCACATGTTATAAAAAATGTTATAAACAAACAAAAAATACATAAAAATGGAAAAATAGTAGATTATACCACGAGTCAATAATGATAGCTTTTATTCCTGAGGAATATTTACGAATTGAGCCGCGTTAGCGGCGAGAGAGTAACATTTCGAGGGAATGATAGCCATTATTGCGAGTAGTATACTCTACTTTATTTACGACAAATTAATTTATTTGCATTTTGCATTAAAAAAGGTTAAAAGTTTGAAATAGGTATACAGAAGGAACTCCATTGAATGTTTTCTATAGGAGTTTGACAGCATTGTTTCAGAGTTAAAAACAGCAGGAGGAAGCATAAATAATGATATTACAACTTCTTCAGCTTTACTAGATTCCCCCCAAAGTGTAACGACAGCCAACATCGAGTAACGACAGTCAAAATCGAGCCGCTGTAGACCTTGAGCCATTTAGACACGACGGGTCATATTTTGTGATATTTATAAACCATTACTCACATTTTTGTATCACATATTTGCTAAATAATAAGTAGAGGCATTTGACTAAAAGGTTACTTACCTTTAGAAACTAGGCTTTAATAAGCAAGAGCTATATACAGAAGATATCAATTAAAGTAGGTCGGTACTTGAATTAATCACGAAGTATAGCTACGGACATTTTTGACAACATAAATAAAGCGAAAGATAAACTTTTTCAGTGAAGTGAAAACATTCCTCTAGAGTCAATTTTCTGGAAAGAGAAAATTAAGGTGCTAATGAATTTCAATTAAAAACCTTAATTAAAACAACTGCTGGGAGAGTCGACAGGGCGACCTTCCCCATTTTATTTTATAGACTTGCCAACCCTAATATTAAAATTTTCTTGTTTACAAAAAAAAAAACAATCTTTAGTATCATCGCATCAAATTGAAAGATATTAATGGCGTTAGCATCTGTTGAATTTTTGGTTTAAAATTCAAAATTAAAATTTTAAAATATTTTAATCAAGTTGTTGTTGTTTTAAGATGGATCTCGTTTTATTTTGCACCCCAGTGTAAAAAGAAGAAGATAATTTAGGAACCATTGACAATAATTCAACAAAAAAATAGAGGGTAGAACCTAGTAAGGTTTTCAACAGGCTTCTGCTTACTTTTTCCTGTTAAGAGTTAATTGAAAAAGCTATTGAAATAAATTAATCATTAAAACTATGAATACCTATGCTTAAAGGATATAGGAAAGACGGCCTCCTAACAATCCCGATACAGGATTATGGAAAATATTGTTTATTCCAGTGTATCTCTTTCAAGTGAGCTTAAATCAGAATAAGGGGCCTGGAATATTAAAGAAAATCCTACAATTTTTTTTTTATAACTCTTTTAGTGTAGCATAGAAAACTGGGACATTTTTGAATTGGTATAGGTTTGCAAATTATTAGCAATAAAATTCCCAACCTTATAGGAAAAGTATTACTCCAAGTGCGCTCTACGATTTCTCAAAATCGTCATCTCCTCCTGTTTAAGTGAATGGGATGATGCTTCCGTAAAACAGTGTTCCAGTTCAGTTGCGGTCCGTCTATCGTTTGAAACTGAATTCGAGCGAGCGCAAGCTGTTCCCTGAATAAAGTTCATTTTTGAGTTTCGGAGTTTCGAAAGTTTTCGGCGGTTATTTTGTGAGAGAAAAAAATTTTTTCATCATGGTTTTTGTAACTTTTTTTTATTTACAGCAGTTCATGAAATGCTGATAAACGACTATTTTTTCGTGATACTTATTTGGTAAGTTTTGGTATTCAAGGAGTCAATTTTTTTCTCAAAATTGATTCCAAGAAATATTTAAATTGCTGTGAAGAGATGCAAAAAGTTTTTTCTCAATTATTTGCTTTGCTGTATTTCTCATTCATTCGTCTCAATATTTATCTTATTCCAATGAAAATCAGGAAAAGAAAAATGAGAAAAAAAATCATTTTAATTAACTGAAAAAATTAACTGAAATTGAAAAAAATGCACTAAATGATTCTACTGTTACCATAAAACTTCCAAATGTTCACCCAAAGATACATCAAATAGCATGCAGCCAGCATTGTCAAATATTCCAGATTCCCGTCTAATTCCACTATTGAAATTCGAAGTATTTTGGAATCTACTCCTAGCAACAAACGAGCAGCATTTACTCAAAGCCTGAATTGAATTCAAATTGCTTTTTTATCGATTTCGAACATTCCAGAAAACATTTTGGTAGACACCTACTAAAATCATTCCCCACAGCCGATAAGATATTAAACGAGCTGGCTCTCTATGGGATATTTATCGGATTTTATAAAAGTTCGTTCTATAGGATTAACGGCAGCGATAGTCAGTGAATAGTTCTGGGCAAAACTTACTCAAATTTGCCTTTAATTAGATTCATTCCAATGTTCATAGATCTTTGTTTGGACAAAGATTTAATAATTGTTTTAAATCCCTGTACAAGCAATATCTTCGTTTTGACAATGATTCCCATCTAGATTTGATGAAGGATTTTAGAAATTTCACTATTGATTTTGAGAAAGCAACTTTGAAAGAAAATGAGGATAAATATTTTTACGATAACCCAATGATTTTTTGAGTTTACTTATTTTCAATGAACATATTTCCCTGGAAGAGAGGACATAAGTACATGAGAAATCTCTAATACTAAAGAACTAACCTTATGAAAAGTTCAATTTAGGAAAAAGTCTTTATTTAAGTTGAGCAATTTCATTTACAAGTAAACTCTTATGGCATAACAAAATACATTTGGCGTATCAATTCCCAAGCAAATGAAAAACCCATACGATGGTTTTTTATGTCCGTGTTATTTTTGAGTTTTTCTTTATGTTCGCACGATTTCGGTGATAAAACGGGTCGTATAAAATGAAACAATAAATTTGATGTTGGCAACATGTGAATTTGCAGTTTTTTCTAAGGCTTGTATTTAGACAAAGCATTTAAAACCGCATCAATTTAGATTAGCTGAATTTTATTATCCAGACGGTTCATATAATTAAATTTCTCTTGTACAGAGAGTTATATTTGTAATAATCTTTTTTTCCATAAAAGTTATGTTTTTAACTATATGAATTATATTGTAAACCAATAAAGACCCTTTTGTTCCCTCATAAACAATAATATCTATCTTGCTTATGCTAGCATTTATTTTATTATAAAATACGCACGCAGCTCCAGTAATGCATTCATTTACTTTCGAGATCGCATCACAGTACTTACTTAGTTTTGAAAATAAATAGTTTTTAAAAACAAAGTTTATCAAAGTGGAAACTTAAATGGCGCAGTCGGTAGCATCCTCAGATTGCAAGGCTTTGGAGACCCGAAAAACGTAGTTCGTCTTTTTTCGAAAAAAAAAGTATTTAGTTGGTGAATTTTTCGAAAAATTGTTCGTTTGTAGATTCCATTTTGGAAAAGAACTCTTAGAACATCCAGCCTATCCACTTCCATATTTATATATGGTTAACTGAGGATAAGAAAGATTAAAACCAACACACTAAGGGAGTGTTATTGTTACAAAGCAATTATCTGTCTGTTAGTAAACCTTCCTAACATTTTGTAATTTGGGTGCTTCATTATTAAATCCTTTTGCTATTTTTGCTGCTGATTCGCTGAGGTGTATATAATACTGTGATTTTAACACAAATTAGCTGAAAAAATAAATAAATCAAACAATTTAAAGTAAATAAATTAAAGAGAGTTTCTACTTCAATTTAGAATTTTTATTTTCATTTTATTTTGGAATTTTATTTTTCATTTAATTTTGAAAAGTATAATAAATAATTGTATAGGTAATAATAAATTACAATAAGAAATAATTTTTATTTTGTTGTTTCGATTCTTATACATGAATCCTCCAACAAAATCCGCTAATCTCGCTCAAGCATGTCCAGACCAGACTCAAAAACTTGGCCTGATATAAGAGATGCTTTAAGAATTAGATACAGAGATCCTTATTCAAGACATAATCTAATTCAGGAATTAATTTATACGAGCAAAAATTCTAAAGAAAATATTTTTAATTATCTTGAAAGACTCAAGCTTCTTGTGCATAAAATTACTTCAAAAATAATGAGTGACCCAGATCTAGCAACGGTTTCACACGTCCTAGTTGCAAAGAATGAGATTACTGCAGTTCAAAATTTGATAACAAATTCACCAGTAGAATTGCGTGCCATATTAATGATTCGTAATCGTAAAACACTGGATGCAATAACTGCATTCGTTTTAAATTATCATTTAGCAGAAAATTATATGAAGTTTAACACAAACATGAATGTCACATCATCAAACTCATAATCAACCTAATAATCAAAAATTTTCATTTAAACCAAATACACACACTTCTTATCAAACTAACAAACTGAATTACCAACCAACATATTTAAACAATAAATACCAATCTCCATCTCAACTTATCCACGTTCAGACAAAACCAAACTACCAACAAAAATTTCCTAGTAGCTCAGGTACTTTTGGAAAGAAATTTTCCAAACAACAAAACGTGTTTGCTAAAAACAAACCAAATCAACAATTTTCCAAACCAACACCGATGCCTGGTGTATCGATTCAACCTCCTAGACAAATTTCCCAAGTGTATAGACCACAACAAAATCAAGCAGGTCCGTCTAACTATTTTAGACCAAACCCCAAATGCTGGTCCAACCAGATACACGATCGAACAAATCAATGACATTCTTGAACAAAATTTGGAACAAAATCCTGAACAATATTTTGGAAATGAAGAAAACGAATATGTATACTGATTATTCTGATTATCAAGACGAACAATCTAATATTGACTATTACAGTGATCACGAGCAACTAGATAAAAATTATTCGGAAGAAAATTTTCAACTGACAGCCTCGGAACAAGACAATCAGCCCTTACTTTAAAGTAAAAAGTTACCAAATCAATGAATTACCTTTTATCCAAATACAAAATCCACCTTGTAAACTCCTAATTGATACTGGAAGTCATGCCTCTCTTATAAGACCTTTCATTGCTGAAATGTATTTTCCAAATAACATAATAAACTCACATAATAAACTTACACCTGTATGGGAACTAGAAAAATGCAAGGAAAAGTAATTGTGCCCATCTTACATGAATTCAATATCAATAAAAATTTCGTGTTGATAGCAACTTCCAGGATTATTTCAATGGAATCATCGGAATAAAAACCTTATAAGAAAATAATCTAAATATCGAATTTTCCATGCGTCTTTTAAATAATGAAGTCACAATTCCATTTCAATTCAGATCCGATTTCGATAATCAACTTTCAGAAATCCCTGCCAGAACAATGCAAATCTGTTATTTGAATAATAATATAACAGAAGGAATAGAAATTCTAACTCCATTCATAAATTCCGAAACTGACGTTATCTTACCAACGATTGATAAAGTCAAAAATGGCTTCCCTTAGAAGTACATATTCGTACAAACGAATCCCTTACCTTGAATTATCATACCGATCAACTCGAAGACAATAGGGCCGTCCCGTTAAATTGAAATGAATGTTTCTACTGTAAGACAAGTACTTCTACTACACTAACATACCATTTAATATGGTTATTAAAACTATGCATTGAAATACAACCATTTTATTTAAGATCGAATTTTTGCTATTATTTGAAATCAATGCTTTCGCGCCTTTATGACGTAATATGCCTCCAGCCAATAAGACACGAACGAAAAAAATACAGAATGACCTAAAGCCTGAAAAATAGGCGACCAGATATACACTTTATATTATGACACTGAACTGACCGATTTCAATGTCATTAACGTCCCCTTAATTGGTTGATTTCTAGTTTTGACGACAGATTGGGAGACTATAATACTATTGGTCAGAGTCATGTGACGTTACGTTAGGCGCGCGTTTTGAATAGACTTGTTTTATCCGCCAATTCAATATTTTCTTTCTGATTCAATAAATAATGGTCGAGTAAATTATTGGTACATACATTTTATATTCTATAAGAATGGCGCGACGACCCCATTGTGATATTTACGAAGAAGATAATTTTGAAATCTTCAACATGGAACAAATGCTACCTCAATATTCCAATCATTACGTAAATAATCCCTTAAATCTTCCACGAACTGATCGCTTAAATAAAGAAGAACTCAATGCTTTACAGCAATTAGTTATGTCCTTTCCCACGATATTTCATAAACTTGACGATAAACTGTCATTTTCCAATCGGGTAAAACATGAAATAAAGACAACAGACGAGATGGCTGTTCATGTAAAAACTTATCGTTATCCCTACGTTCATAAACAGGAGGTCAATGTACAAATTAAAAAAATGAAAAACGAAAATATTATTATACCATCCTCAAGCCCTTGGTCATCCCCTGTGTGGATAGTCCCGAAGAAATTAAACGCTTCAGGCAAAGAAAAATGGCGAATGGTCATTGATTATCGCAAACTGAATGAAAAAACCATTGATGACAGATATCCATTGCCAAATATATCTGAAAAGCTTGGCAGAAGCAATTATTTTACAAATTTAGATCTAGTTTCTAGTTTCCACTAAGTGGAAATGCACCCAAGTTCAATTCCTAAAACTGCTTTTAACGTAGAAAACGGGCATTACGAATATACATGCATGCCCTTTGGCTTAAAAAACGCCCCAGCCACTTTTCAAAGAGTGATGGACAATGTTTTATCCGGACTACGAAACAAAATATGTTTATTCAGTATGGATGACATCATTGTTTACTCCACTCTCCTCAAGAACAC